CTATAGACAAACTGGGTTCTCGGATGCACCGCGCTCCGAGGGTGCCCTAGCGCCCCCGCAGAAGAGTCCCGACCTGGTGGGGAGGAGATGCTAAGGATTGCAGCTGACGTCGGCAAGCCAAGATGCTCAGGTACGAAAATAACTCTGGGGTGCCAGGGACTTGGGAATTTCGACTTGGGGGTCTGAGAGTTTGGGGCAGTGGGGTTGGTGGGCGTGATCCCACGATGGTAGAACGCTTAAATGCATAAGCTCTGGACTCCAATCAGGTTTAAATTACTGTTTGAGCTTTATTAGGTGAGACAACGCATGCAACTTCACCTTTGGAGCCTGGGTTTTTCATCTGTAGAATGGACATAATCGAAGCTACTTCACAGGACTGTTAAGAAGATTAAGTGAGACAATGCTTGTAAAGCTCTTTGCACGAGGTAGGCATGGGATTGATAACTGGCTATTTATTCCTGCCCCATAAATGTATACCTACCCTCTCTCCTACCCCCACCATAGTTTGCTTTCTGGTTGGTGTCAAAATGAGCATAGTAGGCTCCATTTCTCCTTCATCCCCCTAGCATTCTATAAATATTTATTGATATGCTAGGAATGCATATTTATTAAATATTTGCTAGTAGCACCCTTCTCCCCATCATTGTGACAAGTTTAAAAAGTAGAACAAATTTCTGAAATGCACCTGGGGTTAGCAGCTTCCCTTTGAGGAAGACTGGTTGAAGAACAGCCTCACTCTTTTGTCCTTGGGATGGGGACCTCAGAGACTGCCAGTCTGAACTCTGCTGGCACTGCTGATGACAGGGATACCATCATGTCCTCCTTGCATAGGGAGTCCTGGAGGCTGGGCCTGGCAGGTAGAGTGCACCTGCTGTCACCCGGGACCATGGGCAGCATGAAGACCCCCACGGAACTGGCCATCAATGGGATGCAGACCCTCCACGATCAGCACCGCTGCCAGGGCGGCTGTCGGGTGAAGGCCAGGCCATCATACGTGGATGAGACTTTGTTTGGCAGTCCTTCGGGTACCCGGCCCACACCACCAGACTTTGACCCACCCTGGGTCAAGAAAGCCAACAGAATCAGAGGAGTGGGCACAGGGGCATCACGGGCCTC